CCACCTGATTAATTACACCAGCATGTAGCTGAGCAGGACACGAGGGAACCTTCCTGGAAGAGAGCCCGCCACGATGTCTTGTCTGTAGAGAAACTTCAGCCTCCCAAACCTTCCCTGAGTTGCAAAGAGTAAATTTAATCAGAGAAGTGAGAAAATGCAGAAAGAAATGAAAACAGTCAAACAAGACAAAATAATAATAGTTTAGCCATTAAAGTTAAGAACCTTGAGTTCCTCCTTCAGGGCTGTAGATGACATTCTGAGCCGTGTCCTTGGAGCTGCTTTGCAGACGCTGAAATCCCCACCAGGTGGAGGAGGTTAACTGCATGCTGCCCACCAGCACCGAGACCCCAGACCGCTTGGAACCAGAGGGCAGATGATGTTGGCTCTGATTAGTTCATCACCAACCAATCAGAAGAATGTCCATGGGCCGATCACCCACCCCACAGCCTCTCCCTCTTACCCTTCAGGGAGTTCAGGCCTTTTGAGCACCAACCGCCTGGACTCCTTGCTTAGCAGCTGCAACAGACGCTGCGCTTTTCTTCGCCACAACCACCTGTCAGTAACTGGCTTTACCTCTCCCGGGAGAGCGGACCCAAATTCAGTAACAGGACTGTTTTCATCCTGGCTTCCCTGGTAGCTCAGTTGGTAAAGAATCCGCCTGCAGTGCAGGAGACCCCAGTTCGGTTCCTGGGTTGGGAAGATCCGCTGGAGAAGAGATAGGCTACCCACTCCAGTATTGCTGGGCTTCCCTTGTGGCTCAGTGGTAAAGAATCCGGCTGCAATGCAGGAGACCTGGGTTCGACCCCTGGGTTGGGAACATCCTCTGGCGAAGGGAAAGGCTACCCACTGCAGTATTCTGGCCTGGAGAAGCCTATGAACCATACAGTCCATGGGGTCACAGAGTCAGGCACGGCTGAGTGGCTTCCACTTTCATCATGGGAGAGACAGTGTTTTGTTCCTCCTGGGACAGACACTCACGCTGGATACGGATTTGCCCTCTCTGCATTCAGTACTTGTGCCAAAGCGGATCACAGAATGCCTTATCCACCGTGTGGTATTCCACACAGCGTTGCTTCTGATTAGGGAAGAAAGGGTGGCAACTTTCTGCCTGTGGAACTCACCACGTTCCCCACCACCGTGAAGCACCTGGCTTGACAGAAGGTGGAATAGCCTTCTGAAGACTCAGTTATAGCACCAGCAAGGTGGCAATACCCTGTGGGGCTGGGGCAGGTTCTCCAAGAGGCTGTATGCTCTCTGAGTCAGCGTCCACGATACGGTGCTGATTCACAGTGGAGACTCCTGGGTCCAGGAATCAGGGGGTGAAATGGCAGTGGCACCCTGACTGTGCCCCACCAGCATAGCAGTTACCTCCTGTTTCGGAGACCGTGCATGCTCCCGGCTCAGAGCGCTCAGTTCCACCAGGAGATACAGCAATGATTCCACTGAACCGGAAGTTAAGACTCACCAGGCACTCTGGGGTCCTCGTGTCTCAGAACCAACAGGCAGAGAAGGGGCTCACTGTGCCGGCCGGGGTGGCTGATCCCGAAGTGGGGAGACTGGGCTGCTGCTCCCTCCGCACGGGAGGTGAGGAACGGCACGAGGGAGCCGGGGGTCTGGGATCGGGGCCAGGGGAAGATGCCAGCAGCTCAATCCAGGCAGGGCCACTGAGGACCCGACCCTCTGGGGACGAAGGTTTGGGTCAACCACCGAGGACAGACCGCAGCCAGCCGAGGGGCTCGCTGAAGGCACTCTCGCTGAAGGGAGTCCGGAGCAGGTGCTGGGAGAAGGGAGTTGCGAACACGGGCTCCAGCCTCACGGCCGGTTACAGAAACCAGAACTGCCGCTGTGGTATTTATCTCCTCCTTCTGCTGTCGTTATCGTTCGGTCACCAAGTCGTGTCCAACTCTTTGCGACCCCGTGGACTGCAGCAGGCCAGGCTTCCCTGTCCTTCGCCATCTCCCGGAGCTTGCTCAATCGCAAGCCCATTGAGCCGATGATGCCATCCAGCCGTCTCACCCGCTGTTGCCCCTTCTCCACCTGCCCTTCTGCTCTAAGTGTCAGAGAAACAAACAAACTTGGGGTTGCTCTCCTGCGTGCAGTGGGGCCAACCTCCTGACACACGGCTGTGGGGAAGGAAAGCGCAGCATTCACCGCAGGTGCCAAGCCAGGAGTCCAGGTAGCTAATGTTTAAGAGGCCTGAACTCCCTGAAGACTCATAGGGTGAGGGGAGGGAGTGGTGAGTGATCAGGATGAGTGATCAGCTTGTGAACGTTCTTCTGACTGGTTGGCAGTGAGGCAACTGGGAGTCAATAACAACCTCTGATTAGAACAAGTCTGGGGTCTGCCTGCTAGTAGGCAGCATGCAGTTAATCTCTGCCTGGTGAGCCTCAGTACCTGCAAAACAGCTCAAGGGACATGGCTCAGAATCGCATCCACAGCCCTGGAGGAGGAGCTAAGGATCCTTGACTTGAATGGCTAAGCTATTCTTTTGTTTTGCTCAACTGTTTTCTTTCTGCGTTTTCTCATGTCTCTGATTCCATTTAAAGTTTTCCTACACGCAAGGCAGGCAGGGGACCTGGCAGGGTGTGCGGGGAGGGAGGCTGTGTTCTGGGAAGGTCCCATCAGGTCCTGCTTGGTATTGTAAGTATGAGTGTATCTCTGTTTCTTTCCTGTCTTCTCGTCACGTCACATGAGATGCACTGACTTTGAGTCACAGCATTGAGACCTGGGATCTTACACTACAGTGTTTAAGGACGTCTGGAGAGAGGGACACACCCCCAGGCCTTCTCCTCCTCTTCCGGGGCAGGAGCGCACATGCTTTCGCTTGTAGGCAGGACACCTGTACCACGTGAGGCAGACTATGACCTTTCTATTGCCTTTGTCTGGAGCTCAGGCATGATTTCAGGAGGTGGGTACAGGTGCTGTGTTGACAAGGGGTGGACATGAGATGGTCAGTTTTGAGTGTCAACCGGCCCAGTCCACAGGTGCCCCGATTAGACTTTATTTCTGGGTGTGTCGGGGGGTGTTTCTGGATGAGGTGAAGATTAGAATCAGCACCCACTCCAGTGTGGACCAGCATCACGAAGTTCGCCGAGGGCTTGAACAGAACAACGGATGCAGTGGGAGGAATTCACCTTTCCTCCTCCATCCATCTGCTGGAGCTGGGACTGCCCAGCTGGCTGTCTCCCGGCCCTGCACTGGGGCTTACACCACCAGCCCCCCAGGTTCTCAGCTCTCCACACTTGGACAGGATCCCACCAGCACATGGGCTTTCTGGGTCTGCTTCCTGCAGACAGGAGATATGGGGCTTCCCAGACTCTACCATCACGTGACCGGGTTCCTCATCATAAATCTCTTGTTAGGTATCATCTGTTTCTCTGGAGAATCCCAACTGGTCATTAGTGGGTATGATGCTTGACATCTGGAAGTAGTTCATGTCCCATGACTCCTGCCCACCCCACTAGATTCCAGAAGGTTCTGGACTCCCAAGTGACCTGGGCACACAGGTGGGACTCCTGCACAAGGGCTGCAGCACAACCTGTGGGCCTGGAGAAGCTGCTGGCTTGGCCCAGAATGACTACCCACCTCCCACCTGTGCCCTGACCCAGAGAATGCACTTAGGCAGCCAGGGAGGAAGGCCCTGGAGGGGTGGACAGGGAGGTGGGCAGCAGCCTTGGGCTGCAGGAGGAGTGAGGAGCCCAGGCCAAGCCAGCTGGCAGTCAGCCCCGCTCGCCCTCACCCAGGCATGGAATTCGCCTGGCCTCTACCTAGCCCAGTTCCTCCCCAGGGGAGGCCCCAGAGGATCCAGACAGCTCCATCACTCCAAGAAGGGGGACCCAGAGCCTCTCCGGACCTCACGTGTCCCCAGGGTGCCCCACACTTTCAGGGTCTGCACCCCAGGCCCACGGGGCCCAACGTGATTTCAGAGTGGGCAAGTGCTCACCCTTGGTCACCCTGGAGCAGGGGTTGGCATGTCTCCCTGGAGCAGCAGGACGCTGGGCTGCAGGGACCTCTCAGGGCCAACGGCAGAGCTGGGCCTGGACCGCAGGCTCCCCTGTGCCCCGGCCACTGCCCACTCCTGCAGTGGCCAGCTCCAGAGCCACCTCTTCCTGATCCTTTGTGCTGGACGTGAGGTCCCCTTAGCGAAGCAGGGTCATGCATGACCTGGGCATGGGCGGTGCCCTGTGGACACAGAGAGAAGGGCACCTGTCATCCCACGTGGAGCCCTCAGATGGACACCCAGGATGAGGGGCATGCTGTGTGCAGAGGGATCCAGGCAGGGCTCCGGTGACGCGGCCTCAGAGCTGAGCTCGAGGCCAGCGCAGAGGGGGGCCTAGGCTTAATCCCCAGGGCCCGGGCATGATCTGACTCACCGGGGTTGTGACCCTCCTGCTTCCAGGCAGTGGACAAGTGGGAGGGGGCAAAGCCGGAGCCCAGGAGGCCGGTTGGAGGCGGAGGCAGCCCCCAAGACTGTCCGGGGCCTGGAGGCCCCGCAGAAGTTCAGGCAGGGCCCTGTTTGCAGGACTCAGGAATTTTCCCTGGCACCCTTGACATGGGCAGGCAGATTCCTATCTGGCTGGGGGTTTGCCAAACAACCCTCAGGGAAGGAGGGGGCGGCTCTTACCAGACAGGGGGTGCAGAGGCGAGCCAGGCCGTCCGCTCCAAAGGGACCCGATTCCTACCTGGATTGCTCCACTGGCCAGAGGTGTGACTGTGGACACATTCCATGTCCTTTCTGAGTCAGCTTCTTCCTGAGAAATGGGGCCCCACACCCACCCGGCTCCTGGCAAGTGCTAGACTCCAGGTCACTTCCTACAGCAGGCAAGCCGAGCAGACTTGCCAGAATCCTTCATGGAAACAGGAGCCAGAGGGCACCACCAGGCAGGCAGTAAACCCTCGCCGCGGTGCCCTGCGGGGTTCTTGGTAGGCGCCCCAGCCTCCCACCCCTTCCCCATGCCAGCACAGTAAGTCAGCTCAAGGTAGCTGGGCCCGCCCCTCACCCCCGCCCTCCATTCCCAGAGGTCCTGGCCCGAAGTTTGGTCACTTTTCGGGAAAAACCTGCGGGGTATGGCCTCCCGAAGGCACAGCTATTTGGCTGGCCTTCCCAGGCCGCGGGGCAGGACAAAACTCTCCCATAAACGGCGCACGTCCAAAGTCCCTGCCCCCTCAGGCCCCGAAAAGTACCCCCGTCGGCCAGGGGGAAAGGCGGCTGCCCCTCTCCCGCAACCCGACTTCCCCCACCGGCCAATCCCAGCGCAGGGGTAGGTGGCCGGTGCTGGCACTGAGCGAAAAAGGTCATGAAGGCGGGTAGACATCCACGGGTGAGCGGCCCGAGGGAACCGGTCCAAGAAGGGAGGACGATTTGAGGGGAATATGGAAAGCGGAGGAAGCTTCGAGAGCGGGGCGGGGGGAGACGGGCAAAGGGGAAAGGCAGGCGGACTGCAGCCCGGGGTCCGAAGCGGACTGAGCAAACCTCCAGGCCCTTCGCCTCAAAGATGCGCAAGGCCAGGGGAAGACAGGCGACTGGGGGAATGCACCCCAGGAGCCAGACCTTCGCACCCCCCCCCAACCCCACCCCAGCGCGCCGAGTCTCCACCACTTCTTAAGCCCCGCCTTGGCGGGAGGACGGAGTAGCTCTCTCGCAGGCCCCGCCGAAGAAAGATGGGCGCCCGGCCAGGAGCAGGTGCTCGCGGGAATGCGCGCCCACCAGGGTCGCCGGGAGGGGCGGGGCGGGGCCGTGCGGGCGCCAAGCTTTGTTAGAGACGCTCCAGGAGCCACGCGTCTGGCGTACACGCTTCCTCCCAGGGGCCGGGCGTGGGGCCGCGCCCGCCGCGATTGGCCGAACGGGCGGCCCGCCATTGGCTGAGGCCCCCCCACGCCCCTCGGCCTCAAGGGGCGGAGCGTGGGTGCCGGCTGCCCGGCGCGTGCTGCCCCCGGGGGTCTCACGCGCCTCCAGAATGGCCGCACCGTGGCGGTAGACACACCCTACCCCCAAAGGCGGACGGGGCGGGGGTCGTACCCAGGACCTGTGAACAGCAGCTTCGGGAGGCGGGGGCCGGTGCTGCGCACGCGGGACCCGCGGACTGCATCTCGGGGGCGCACTGGGCCCCTGCTGGAAACAGGGACCCACTGGGGGCCTGCGGGCTGTGCCTGGGGGACTGGGTGCGGTCTTCGGAGGCTCACGGCTCGGTCTTTGCAGACTGTGCGCCAGGGGTTGGGCGAAGCGTGGCGCGAGAGGGAGGCAAGGGAAGGAGGGCGTGAGAAAGGAGGCGGCGGCGGGGAGGAGGGTTATCTATATATTCAAAAACGCGCCGCCTGCGCCGCTCAGGGAAGACCTGGCGAGCGTCTGACAGCACACGCAAGTCACGAGCCCCCCACGCTCCTTGGCGCGCACTGGCAGCCCTCTCTCTCGGTCTCCTGCGCCTCGCTGTCCCCGGACCCCGGACGACCTGGGGCCGCATACCCCGGGGAGTCTTGGCAGAGCAGTGCCCGATCGTCGTTGAGACTTGACCGGCGTTCCTCCGCCCTCGGTTCCTCGTCCTCCACCTTCTTGCGGCGCGCAGAGACTCTGGGGAGGCGCGGAGCGAGTGGATGCAGACGCGATGGACAGCCGCGCGCTGCCCCGGCTCGCGCCCCCGGCGCCTGGTGTCCCGGGCTGCTGCGCCGCTCGGCGGCGACCGGAGTCCCCAGAGCTGCTGCGCTGCAGCCGCCGGCGGCGGCCCGGCGCGGTGGATCCCGGCAGTGGAGCGGCGGCCGTGGCGCGGCGCAATGAGCGCGAGCGCAACCGCGTGAAGCTGGTGAACTTGGGGTTCCAGGCCCTGCGGCAGCACGTGCCGCACGGCGGTGCCAGCAAGAAGTTGAGCAAGGTGGAGACGCTGCGCTCCGCGGTGGAGTACATCCGCGCCTTGCAGCGCCTGCTGGCGGAGCACGATGCTGTGCGGGCCGCCTTGGCCGGGGGGCTGCTGGCCCCGGCCGCGCGCCACCCCCTGCCCCGCGCGCCATCGGGGACCCCCGCCACCGCCGCCTCGCCCTCTTGCGCCTCGTCGTCCCCGGGTCGTGGGCACAGCTCGGAGCCCGGGTCCCCGCGTTCTGCCTACTCGTCGGACGACAGCGGCTGTGAGGGCGCCCTGAGCCCCGCGGAGCGCGAGCTGCTCGACTTCTCCAGCTGGTTAGGGGGCTACTGAGCGCCCGGCCCCGCAAGGTAGGCTCCGGGAGGCGGGAAAGAGGGAGGGTCGGAGGCTGGGCGGCTGGGCGCCGTGGAGACAACGGCCTCGCTGCTCGCGCCCCCGAGAACCCGCGAGGCCCCGAGCGACGGCCCGGATTTCGCTCACTCTTTATTCCCCCACAGACTTCTTCAAGCCTGTGCAAGACCAGCGTTTGTTTGTCCGGGATTGCAAAACTTCCCCCTCGCTGCTCCGCCGCTGTAGGGGGAGCGGGGAGACGGAGGGCTGGGGCGGGTGAGGCCCGAGTGTTTGCGGATCTCAGGGCAGACTAGGGCGCTGGGAGGCGGAGAGACTTTGCATTGCAAATTGCGCGCCCGGCCCGGTGGCAGAAATGAGTCGGCGGGGCGCGGGAGCCCTGACTCACCCCTCCGAGCGCTCGCCCCGCCCGGAGCCCGGGCTGGGCCACACACCGAAGCCGAGGCTCCCACGGAGACCTGGGCTCCAAAACCCACCCAGAGAACGAAACTGCCGACTCCGCTTGTGGGGGTGGGGGAGGGCCGGGCTGCGCGGGGTCTCCGGGCCGGCTCCCGCACTAACGCGCGTGCCTGTTCCCCCTTCCCTCCCAGCGGCGGGAAGCGCTCTCACCCCTGCGGCGCCAGCCGGTTGGAAAGGCACCCGCCTCCGTGTTCCTCGTTCCGCGGGCCAAGCCACCACCGAGCCGGGGATCCAGCCGACGCTCCCCGGCCATCCAGCCTGACCCAGGGCTAGTGTGGAAGTGGGTCCAACCTGACCTCCTCCTCCCGCTTGCAGCTTCCTCGGATCCCAGCCACCCTATCCGCAGAGACCTTCCACTGGACTGGGGCTGTGGAACCGACATTTGGAGGTTTGAAGGGGAAAGAGCTTTATGACCTCGCAGATTATGTTTTTTTATGAACACATGGACTTGAACTGCTCAGAGACACTGGCGGTATGAAGGCTTATTTTTGTACAAAGAACCCTTAGATTTAGAATACAATAAAGATTGTTTATTCCCGCTATTCCCTCTTCCTGGAAGTTTGGAACCTGGCTGACATCTCCCGTGCCACGCCCTTGGGCAGAGTCCCTGGTGGGCGTCCCCTTGCAGCTCTGCCAGATGGGGAGAGACCAGCGTCTGAACACCTGTTTTAGGGAAGGTGGATCTATAAACAAACCAGTGCTGTGTATCAGTGTGGTGGGGGTACCCACTCCATACTCCTGAGATCCCCCATGACCCAGGCGAGGGTCCCGTGTGGGTGGGAGGGTGGTGGCTTCGGCCCTGGACCCAGCAGGCCCACATCTGTGGTCGCGTCTCCCTGGACTCTGCCCCTCCTTCTGAGGGTCCACCTGGTGGCCGCTCTGCCAAAGCAGTTCACAGCGGGGCTGGGGCTCCCGTCAGGTGTCGGGACGCTGGAGGGTGGTCCAGGCAGGGCTGCCTCACGGCTGGGACGCTGAGGTCTGCAGGCTGCTAATTGGAGCGGGGCTCTGGGGCAATGCCCAGCATAGGGCTCAGCCCAAGGGGCTCCGACCTTTGGGCCCCCAGGCCGCCCTCTGTCTCGGGGTCCAGGTTGCTGCATTCAGATCCCCGCTGTCCACCACCAGCTGGGTGACCCAGGGCAAGGAGCTCCAGCTGCCAGTGGGGGAGACCTACAGTTGTGGAAGGATGGAGGAGAGGTGTCTGGCTGTGTCCAGCCCACCATACCTTGCCCTCCATCTCCACACCTGTGGCTCCTGGCCACGTGTGCCCTGCAGACTGCAGAGCCCTGGGCCCTGCCCACCTATTTGAGGGTGGGGGTTGTGAGGGCCTCCTCTCAGAGGAACAAGGAGCACCCCCCCCAGGCTCCCCGAGCCCAGAGGTGATTACTCAGCCCTACCTTTGACCGGAGCCTCGGAGGCTTTGAAGTCTCACCCTGCCCAGAGCTCTCTTTTATTGCACGGGTGGGGGTGGAGCTGATGGGGATCCCCCAGGCTGCTTTCGGATGCTGAAGGCACCCCTTCCTCCTGCGGGGAGTGGTTGGGTCACAGCCGTTGGAAGCCGGGCAGGTTGGGGCGACTGGTGTTGGCAAAGCGAATGTCTCCCTGGTGAGCAGGGTGACAGGCTGGGTGGGTGTGACGAGGCTCAGGCTTGGCGGGGTCAGCAGAGAAGCTGGGGACTGCGGGACCAGGAGTGACCCGGCCTCGTCCAAGAGACAGAAGGAGGCATGTGACGTGGCCACCCGGCAAGGGCCATCCGCAGCCTTCCCCGAGGTCCACAGCCTGGTCGTGGCCTCGCCAAGCCTCTGGCTCCAGCCTCTGCTGGCTCTCCTTACCCTGACCCAGGGAAGGGCATGCAGCTCTCAGGACAGCGTGGTGGTGGGCAGGGTGGGCCCACACATAGGTGTTGGTCGGCGGCGGGGGGTGGGCATAGGGGGGATGCATGGCAGGGGCAGGCCAAGGGGGACTGGTGATGAAATTCTACCAAGAATAAGAGCTGCCATTTTTGTGCTTCTGGTTTTACGGAAAATCCCAAGCACGTGCAGAAGTTCCAGAACTTCCACTGGACATGTTCTCTGTGCCAGGCACGGAGGATGCACTGGTGCCCGAGTAGGCCCTGCCCTCATGGAGCTGATGTTCTAGCAGGGTACACAGGCTCCATCTAACCCACAAGTGACATTGTTGTAATCAGGCATCCAGTATCCGGTCTGGTCAATGATGGACACGCCAGATCTGGGAGAAGGCTCTGAGAAGCCCCCATCACCAGCACCAAAAACTGAACACAAACCCATGGCTGTCCATGTACCCCCCACCACCACCCTCACATGGTTCTGAAGCAGACCCCAGACATCATACAATTCCACCCGTAAATTCTCCAGATGAGCTTCCAAGGAGAACCCCAATACCTTGATCCCCCCAAATGAACAACAGCTCTTTTCTTGTCAAACACCCAGTCAGTGGCACAGTCCTCTGACTGCCTCTGTTTTCCAAGTTTGTGGGTTTTTTTTGACTGCCCCATGCATGACCACAGATCAGACCCGTGTCCCCTTTGGTGGACGCACAGACTCAACCACTGGGCCCCTGGAAGTCCTAGGTTTTTTATCATAAGGATCCGGTGCAGATCCGCACTGGAGTCAAGCCTCTCGTG